ATCGAAGCCATTCGTAAGTATTTCCTTGGTTGTTTACTATCATTGTTTAGGTTTTTGTTTCCAGTTTTTATTCTTGTATTATTTTATTTATATTTTAAATGTTAACATCCAGAGCGAAAAATTTGATTTTTATAAACTTTTGCACGCTACTGTTCCTCGTTTTCTATTCAATCTTTTTGTAAAAGGAAATTTCATAGTCAAAACCAGCGGAATTCACGAAAAATTATATCAACTGTAAGTACTGCTCAGCAGCTAAGCTATAAACACCATCTGTAAATTACAGCTGTAATTTGATTTTTACGTAACGAAGTAAGTTCATCTGTAATCTACAGTTTTAGCTAAATAGCTAATGCTTAATAGTATAGGGTGTTTTTGACAATTTATATAAAAACTATTACAGAATTCTCCAGAATTATTTGTCCAGAATTCTCCAGAATTCTGTTAAAAAATTCTGTTTTCTGAAATTATGTTGCGAATGTGTCGCGTGACATTTTTCAAAAAATTCTCCAGAATTCTGATAAATAATCCTCCAGAATTCTGTAGAATTCTGAGAATTATTCTGCACAACTGTGTTCCAGAATTCTGCAGAATTCTCGAGTCTGCCAGATGCTCCGGAATCAGAACAGGCAATTGTTGGATGTTAGTAGTTGATTGCTGTTGAATTAAAGTCAATTGTTGAAGGTCTTCTTTTTTGATATGCAAGTTGAGCGACTTCTGACAGCATTATTAACGTGATTTGTCTTTTTTTGAGGAGAACAATGGCAATGATAGAAGTTTGTGGAAATGTCGTCATTTTCTGGTTTTTTGGTTAAATTAGAAAATGTCTTCCTAAGTTAATTAAATGAAAGCTGTTCAGGTAGAACTGACAATGATTTAAGGAGCAGTTCATAAATGACTTTTCAGTTGATTGTGGTCGATTCTTTCTTTCAGTTGGTGTGAAATTCAATTAAAATTCTTAACATCCAGTTAGAAGCTTTCTTAAGATCAAAGTAGATTTTAGATACAATATCAGAAATGTCTAACATCGATCCATCTTAGATTTTAAGAATTCACCAATTAAATTCAGCATTCTTCATCTTATTACCCATAAAAATCTACTTTTTACCAATAATGGACTAATCCAGCAACAAACATCCAAATTAAAACTCAAACTCTCAATTTTCTTCACAAAAAAATTAAACAATCAATGCTTAATAATTCACTAAAGCTTCTAGAGAAAGAAGAATTTTGCATTTTATCTTATTCACGTGCAATTAGCGAGCACTTTAAGATTCTTAAAAATAAATTGATGAGAACTAAATTCACACAAAGCGGCTTTAATAATCTTTAATGACAAAACTGTATCAAAACATTTGAGTATCTCAACTTCTGCTAGCCATTATATTTAGTCGAAAAATCTGTGAAAAATGACTTATTATTGTATTAACAAAGCATAAATTTTTCTCTAATTTTTTTAATGATAGAACGGCACATTTGCTTTTTGGGGCCTTTTTTGAAAGCCAATATGAGTGCCCGATTTACAAATTGAGTAATTTACGTCTCGATGATTCTCATCTCTATGCTCACATCATGGACTTTTTAAAAATAAAAAAAGTATCAAGAATTATAATTTATAATTTATGTTCAACAATGCTTCAAAAAATAGTTAAAATAATTTTCCTACATTTTCTCTTTGATCTTTTACTGACTTTTTAAGAAAATTAGTACAGAATTAATTTATGTTTGGTACACATATGAATGTGGTGCATGTGTTTTTGATGATTGCGATTAGTATACACATTTATCTAATTAGAATCACATAAAAGAGAACAACCAACAGGTTTATGGAAGTTATTATTTAATGAAAATGTGCTCTAAATTTGGAGAGATGAGTGGTTGGTAATGATTTGGGAATTGTGACTGTCTGGTGCTGTATCATTGAAGAATCTTGTTTGCTTTCTTTAGCTTGTTGCAAGATTTTAAAAAAATTTGATGGTTATGCTTACAAGTGCTGATAATGCAGTGTCTGAGCTTGATAAAGGGTGTCAAAACCTGCTTTTTCAACCTTTAAACATCAATTGTCCCAGAAACAAAAAGTTTTGCTGATCCAGGCATTGACTACATCTGAACCAGATTTCAAACGCTAACCTAGTCTCATCCTTGGCACTTCGAAACTTGCGTAGACGTCATTTGATCGCCTAGTTACATTTTCAAACAATAAGATCTAAGCTGAGGATGTAGCAAGGATTTGAAACTCTTTGTCAGATTTTGTCTAGCACATGCTAACGACCACTTTTAAAAACTGCGCCTCATTCTTCCATCCAAAAACAACAATTTCCTCACCCAATTTTCTCAAAATCATCTTAATTACACATTTTAACTTTATTTTCGATTTCATGTGTTGCTCATAATTTTAATTCTTTTTAACATACATTTAATTCTGCTTACAACATTACGGCTTGATGCTCACACATTTTATGAATGAAACGGAATAATAAGAAAAGAAGAAGCACACGAAGCTTGTGCATACATATACGCGTGCTAGTTATATAACTGTATCTCTGGTCTAGATAACAAAACTCATCATTAAATTCAATGTTAACTCACTTCTGGTCAACATAGACTGCTTGCAATAAAGGTTTAAAGCTACCGATGGTCTACGTTAATATCTTTCCCATAATGAACCTTTTTTTTTTGATGATTATTCAGTAAACAAATTTGTAACAGTAGTTATGACTGATGGAAGTGTGAATGAAAGGTATTATGTCTATTTTGATAAGCACTTCAAATGTTTGTTGGTCAATAAATAATTTACAGCATTCAAAATTTAATTTTTGTTGGATTTTGAGCTATTATGATTTTTCTAGTTCAACATAACAACTTGAATGCTGTTTTTTAACTCAATTTTCTTAATGGAATTAGATTTTGATCATTTTTGGAGTTGTTTACCAGTAATGTCAAGATTTTGGGAGCTGAAGGAATTGCTGGAGGTTAATGACACAATAAATAGTCATAACAAAGACTAGGTATAGTCTAAATCAAGATTGACATCACTTGCGAACAACCCTTTTTGAGAATTTATCGATTTTTGAATAGAAGTGCTTAAATAATTTAATTCCATTTACTTCCAAAAAAATAAATTCTCCTTTTGTTGCCATTTCTAAAATGATTGAATTATCTTTAAGCTGAAATCATTTGAAAGTTCAATGGAAGTGCCTTTTCCTTCTCAAGCCGTTTAAATTCTTTTCTGTACACAAAAAAAGACCTGCAAAATTCCAAATTTCCTTCTTAAAAATTTGTAATCCCTTCTAAATTGTTGATCAATGCCTTTCTCTTCATTTCGCGTAGTTTATGAACTTAAGGTGGAAATGGTGTGAGCGAAATATTAGAAAAATATTCAACTTAAGGCTAATGCTATTCTGTAGAACGATTTATTGGTTTTCTGATATTTAATTCCTTCACTTTTGATCACTTTTTGATTTTTCAAAAAATCTTTTGATCTTAAAGCATTAAAAAGTTATTAAGTTTGGCTTCTCTTGATTATATCACTCATCGATAGAAGTCCATTTTATTGATGGATATTTTACTATTCTTATTTCGTGCTGGGTTTAAATTGTAAATTAAGGTTCATTGAAGATAGTAAATTTATGGTTTGAAATGGTAAAAGTAAACAAAAAAGATAGCAATAATGCTGAATGGACTTCTGAACAACTTGCTTGATTAATATTTAACTATAAGGTCTACAAATGGCATCTAGTTCTACTTAACTGTTCATATAGTTAAGGGCTCGGTCGAATAAAAAGTTCCATTGAATTTCAACGGTTTTTTTGAAATTCAATTTTTCTTACTTTCCCCAACTTTCCCCTTCAATAAAATGAAAAATTATTTTGCAAAATATCATTTAAATTAATATCAATGTTTTCTTTTGAGCATTGTAATGCATCCAATAAATTTTTCTTGATCTGTTCCTAATTTTTCAGATTCCAAATATGTGTAATTAATGAGCTTCAAACGATTTTTTTAACTCACATATTTTTTTGTGATGTAAACAAACGAATGAAATAATTCAAATTTTGACCATTATGAAAAAAGTGTTTCAGAAAAATCATTAATTTAACTAATTTAAACAAGCTTTTGAAGATTTTAATAGCAAAGGATTAGAAAGAATTGAAAATCCTACAATTTGATATAATTTTTGTATCTTCTAATGAAGTTTTCGCAAAGTTATTAGTATTTTTTGTGAAAATTCAAAATAATGGAACTTTTTTTCAGTGTCACAAATCGATAGTTTTTTGGATTTTCTGGGTTAATTAAAAGACTTTATGATATGTTATGCACATGAAAACGCTCGTTTTCAAAACCTTTATAACACTACTTATTGAGATAATTACGTAGATATCCAGGAAAAGAGAAAAACGTTAACATTTTTTGATTTCTGACACTTATTTAACAAACGACCAAGCCCTTAAGTATTGATCTGATTTAACCTGTATTAACAATTCTGGATCTTAAACTTAAAAAAATGAGCAATCAAATGATTTTTATCTCCATTAGACTAAGAAAACATTTACAGAAGTTCAGCATAGCAGAAATCTCAATGCTTATTGCTTCAAGTAACTTTCTGCCATAAATTCTAAACAAATAATCTTAACCACCCATAAGCAGCAAAGCAATCAAAACTTTTAAATCATTTAAACTCAACAAAAAAAAGAGTCTAAGTAGCTTATAGACCAAAAAGAAGTAATTCATCTTTTATATTTGCTAAAAACTATTTGATTACCACCCAAAAAAGGCTAAACCATTCATCATTTTGTGAACTCTTTAATTTACTTTAAGCGATCATGTCTTTAAAATCACGTGAAAAAGAAAGATTAAAACTTTTATTTTATATTGTACCTTTCATCAATTTAACTTTCAAGATTAATTTTCAGCATCCGGCCGTACTTGAAAATCATGAAATAAGAATTTCTACAATAACAAAAATTGACCTTCTCCTTTCTTTTTTTATTTCGACATTGCAGTTTTAAACGTAGCAGCTGGAAAGGCGCCAATGCAAATTTCTACAGATGGCCCAGGCATACCGCAGAAAGCCATCGATGGATCTACCTCATCTTTCTACTCAACAGACACATGTTCGCTTACAAAATCTGAACGGGTACCGTGGTGGTATGTAAATCTCCTCGAACCATACATGGTGCAATTAGTTCGATTGGATTTCGGAAAATCATGTTGCGGTAAGTCCAATGACCAAATATCTTCTTTTTTTTCAACAACAAAAGAGAAAACATTTTATGATCACATGCGTGCATTTAAAGATGACGTTTATGATGGAATAAATTTAAAAATGGACATTGAGATTATAATTTTTTGTGGATATTTATGCATGCATAAATAAACAGAGAATTATTTTGTTTATTAGAGTTCCTACTTAAGTCCTTAATGTCTTCACGATTAGTTATTTAAATTTTAAATTATACTTGCATGCTCTTTTGTCTAGTAGTTTCTTTGATAGCTAACTGTAGAGCTACTTAAGAATGAAACTCGAGATTTTGTTTCCAAAATGCTTTTTTGTTGTAATATTAGAATTATGGAATTTTATGATCAGAGAAAGATAAGACGAGATTATTTGATTTACAAATTAGATGGGGAATGCTTAAAGGTAGATGATGGTAAGTGTTACTGAGTGAAAAATAATATGAGATGTGAAAGACACATTAGAATAAAAAAGAATTTATCAAATTTTACATTCAACCCAGTAGAATATGAGTTCTGCTGTTAAGAAAGTTTAAATGACATTTTTGAATGATTTCACACCAACTGAAACATCAGTTTTAGCTCCAAAAATGTCAAAAATGATTTATCCAACTTCCAGTTCTCAAAATTCCCAATTACCTACTTCAAATCTCTGTCACTCAATACCATTGTCAACACAAACCAGTTCCAATCATATCAAATTTCTTTCTTTCACTCAAAATCTCCATCAATTTTAAAAAGTCTAATTTGCTATACAAACTGAAATTAATCATCAATACACAGCTCAAGAAGAATGTGTATCACTTTATCCACGTTTTTTTTTTGATTAAGTCCATAAATAGATGCTGATACCCATGTAGGCAGTTTTTGACTCTATATTTTTTGTTATTGTAACTTTCGAATTTCATTTCTTTCTCATCTGATCCACGAAAACAAAAATTGACTTTCACTCAGTTCCTCATTCGAACCTTTTCTTTGCTCTCTTCTCAATCAAAACAATTACGTCGTATGAATTCTGGACATCAATACTTGCTGTTGTATTGAATAACATTATTTACATGTGCAATAAACTTTCATTTTTTGCTCTTTTTCTGCTCATGTCATTGACTCGATTGTCTTTTTGAATGAGCATAAAAAATTGTAATTAATTGTGTGAACTACATTTTCAAATTGCATAAAATTTTTAATTTTTATGATCATCATTGGAGATTTAATTGTGATTTTGTAGCACTTTTTTTATGGAATTTAAAGATTAAAGCTGACGTGAAAAAATTGTGTGCATAACATAAATGCTCGTTGCATCATAATTTAATATTACTAGTGTAATATGCAACAACTGCATATTAGTTTATTATGTGACTTGCAGTTTTTGTTTATTAAGTTGAATTAATGCTGTTTAGCTTTGTCACTTACGTAAATTAATTGTTATGGAATTCAAACGATTAAAATGAAAGTTTCGAGCACCTTTTGTTTTGATTCAGTTCAATTTCAGAATTTGATAAGAATTCATCAATAAGTAAATACTTTAACTTAATTATTAGGTAATACTGGATCAAAAAAGTAATTAAAGTCCATTGCTAAGTTCCCATCACCTTCAGTTGCAAATTTATTTAACTCACCAGTTTTTAAGTTTTCTCAAAAGTTTGATTTTGTGGTTTTAAAGAAATTAAAAACTGAATTTTTAAATCATAGGTTACCGAAACAAAATACAAAGTCTAGATTTAAAACCTTTTTGATGAAATATTTGTAATTTTAGGTTTCAAAAATAGTTCATATTCAGTTCCTTACAATTTTAATCTCCTCGAAAGTGAAAACAAACTCAAAATCATATTTATTGAAGGAAAATCACAAATAATCGCATTAATCAACAAGCAATAAATCAATCACTTCTCATAATCAGGGTGGGAAGATTTTTTGCGATTTAAATCAAAATCGCAGAATTTATTTTTGATTTTGATTTAAATCTCAATGAAAAATGATTTTAAAAAGGGATTTTGACTTAAATCATTTTTGCAAAGGGATTTTTTTTTGGAATTGGTTCCTTTCGTACTTGATGATCAAATATGACTGAAAATTATGCTTTATAATTATACGATTAGATAAACATACTTTGTAGTAATCAGGTATAAAAGGAACCGATTAGTTTTGTAAAAATTTGTTGACTTCAAAAGGTGATTCCTTGATGAAAAAGCAACAAAAATGCAAAGGAACTAGGCAGTTCAAGTGCTTATTCTTGCTTATGACTCATTAAACAAACGTAGACTACTTTGGTACTGTAATAAAAGACATTTAAGATTTTAAAAGCAATGAACGCAGATAGTTCCTCATATAGAGTAAGATTAAAAATCTCGGATTGGATTTCGTATAAGTCAAACAGCATGGAACCATTGGTTGCTGTAACCTTTATTAAAGAAATGATTAGATTTAAAAGATCCAGTTGCAAGATTCTGGCCGAAAAAGGATCAACTGCATTCTTACTTATGAGGAACTGAAACTGAAAACTGTTGATTTAAAAATAATTTGAGAAATTGCATACAAAAATTTTATATGGAGGGATTTTAAAATCTCAAAAAAAATTCCTTTGCAAAAATGTTTTAAATCAAAATCCTTTTTTAAAATCATTGCAAAAAGATTTTGATTTTTGATTTAAATCACCCACCCTGCTTATAATCAATCATTAAATAATTTCCTTGTTTAAACCGTCAAAGATAACATTACCGGTTGATTTTGTTCCACACCCTTTCCATGTGTGCTGTAATTTACAACTCATTACAACATTTAGTTTTAATTTAATCCAATGAACTTTTTATGCATTTACAATCGGAAGTAAATTGATGTGCTAAAAAAGCATGCGGCAAAAATTTGATTAATGTACAGACTGATTAATTTCCTACACCCAGAGTTGATATCTTGCCTTTGACTTTGAAAAAGGCAAATCTTTAAAAGGCAATGCAAAGGCAAGGTTTCAAAAAAAATCTTTTGTCAAAGGCACTTGAAAGGCAAAGTTTACTGGTTTTTACCTTTGCAAAGGCAAGTTTTAAGGCAAAGGCAATTTTTTTTGCCTTTTCAAAGATTTGCCTTTGCCTTTAACCTTGCCTTTGCAAAGGCAGAAAAAATTGACTTTGCCTTTTTTGTGCCTTTGCAAAAGGCAAAATCTTCCAAGGTCAAAGGCAATTTGCTGGGTGAGAGCTCGATTCAGAAGAAAGAAAATTGTTTGAAAACTTTTGGTCAGGGAATTGGATCAATACGATTTTTGATGGACGTTATTTATGATCAACTCCTGATATAAAACCTCCTGACATTAGTCAAGTCATTTTTAGTGCACCATATACACAAGTTAAAATTGAACGCACCTTCTCAATTTTTGCTCTTGTGTTGTCTCACATTAGAACGAATCTATCTAAAGATTCATTAGATTCTATAATCGTCGTCAGAGACAATTTAGATCTTATTGATCGTATTAATTTAGTTTAATATGTAAAATATAATTCTAAATGAATCGTTTTCCATTTGCTCATTAATTTTTTAAATATAAAATATATCCTGCTTCAAAACTAAAATCAGTGGTTTTATCTATCATGAAAATTTAAAATTAATAAGCATGAAAAATTTTTACAATTTAAATTGAAGTGGAAAGTCAAAGCTAATTCAAAGATAAAGGCATTTGTCTTTAAAATGCATTTTTAGGCAAAGGCAAGAAAACATTGCCTTTTGAAAAGGCACAAAAAAGGCAAAAGCAATTTTTTCTGCCTTTGCAAAGGTAAAGTCAAAGGCAAAGGCAGTGTCTTGCAAAGGCAACTAAAAAGGCTTGTGCCTTTTTTGTGCCTTTGCAAAAGGCAAAATCTTGCAAAGTCAAAGGCAATGCCTTTGTCAAAGGCAAATCCGTATCAACTCTGCCTACACCAGACCTAATGTTAAATTAATACAAATGTGTTTGCATAATTCAAACCAATTAGCGGAACTTTAATTTCTCTTACATTACAGTTTTTTTTGACTCCTCTTCGAACAGAAAGCAAGCAATAAAAAATATTAATACAGTCTTTAGCACATATTTCTTAACAACTTTATTCCATCTTACAGGCGCAATGAGGTGTAATAAAAACGTTATGAGTAGTAACAGTTTTTTTTGCTACCTCAAACTTTGTTGTTTTTATTTCTGTGTAAATTAAAAAAATTTAAATCAATAATTTCACTTTCAATATTATCTAATGAAAAAAATCACACGCTTTAACGATTCCCTTAATTTTTTTCTTCTTCCACATACCGCATACCAACAGGCAATAACAAACCAGCAACTGTTGTAGTACGCGTTGGCAACAATCGTCCTGATTTAGGTACAAATCCAATTTGTAATAGATTTACTGGTGTTTTGGAAGAAGGTCAACCACTCTTTTTACCTTGCAATCCACCAATGCCTGGTGCATTTGTGTCAGTTCATTTAGAAGTTAGTCAATCTGCTGCCTTGTCAATTTGTGAAGCATTCGTTTACACAGATCAAGCACTTCCTATTGAAAGGTGTCCAACATTCAGAGATCAACCTCCAGGCGCATTGGCATCATACAACGGAAAATGCTACATCTTTTATAATCGTCAACCAATGAATCTTCGTGATGCTCTTCAATTCTGTCGATCACGTGGCGGCACATTGATTAATGAATCAAATCCAGCACTTCAGGGATTCATCAGCTGGGAATTATGGAGACGTCACAGAAGCGACGTCTCATCACAATATTGGATGGGTGCAATCAGATCTAATGAAGATCGTAACATCTGGAAATGGATTGGAGGTGATGATGTGTCTGTTTCATTCTGGAATTTGCCTGGCGGCGATGAAGATTGTGCTCGTTATGATGGATCGAAAGGATGGTTATGGAGCGATACAAATTGTAATACACAACTTAATTTCATTTGTCAGCATCAGCCAAAGGCTTGCGGTAAACCAGAACAGCCACCAAACTCAACAATGATTGCTATTAATGGATATGATGTCGGCGCAAGTGTTGAATATAAATGCGAAGAAGGTCATTTACTTATTGGGCCAGCTCAAAGAACATGTCTTGAGACTGGATTCTATAATGAATTTCCACCAGTCTGTAAATATATTGAATGTGGTCTTCCTGCCTCAATCCCACATGGTACATACGAACTTGTAAATGGATCTGTTGGATATTTGAGTCAAGTTGTCTACAAATGTAATGAAGGATATCAAATGTTGGGTCGTGCAATGCTTACATGTGATATTGATGAAAGGTAAGTGTCCAAATTTATAAAGGAAAGTGTCATGAAATCAACGATGCATATAATAATTAAATTTTACAGATGGAATGGACCACCGCCAAGATGTGAAGTTGTTGAATGTGACCCAATTGCACCAAATCATAAAAATTCCAAAGTATTCACATCAAATGGAACATTCTTCGGTTCAAGAGCTGAAATTCAATGTGCACGCGGATATAAATTGGATGGTCCAAGTATAATCACTTGTACATCATCAGGTCAATGGAGCAGTCCAATAAGCAATTGTGTTGAGGATGAATCATCAACGACTGTAAGAACATCTACACAATCTGTTCCAGCAACCACATTCACAAGACCGAAGACCTCACCACCATCGAGAAAGACTTCTACATCTGTAAGAACAAGCAGTAGATTCACAACAACATCATCAACTCAGAAGACAGTTCCTATTAGTAATATAGATTTAAGTCTAGAAGATACTGATATTGACATCCTTCCGGGAACCGTCAGGGAAGAATTCCCAAGTCGAAAACCAGTAAGACCTATTGTAACAGTACCAAAGAATAATAATGCTCAACAACCAACCACAACTACATCTACAACATCCACAACAACGAAAAAACTTGAAACAACAACGAAGAACGTACAAGATGAAATTGATTTAGCACGACCAGAAGATAATGAAGTTTCTGGAACGAATAATAACAGGTAGGAAATGATTTTTAAGCTTCAAATGGCTCAGACTAGTAGGCTGACTAGTCAGACTCATTGTCACGTCTATAATGCCCTTGAATTTAAATTAATGAAGATCCAATCATTCCATAATTTAATCATGATTTTCTCATCTCCCAAACAGGCATAATCATGTACCAGATGTAAACATTCCATCACCAGTTGACAATGACGAGTCCGTATCGTCATCATCATCAACTTATGGTGCTAAACTCAGTCTCAGCTCGATAATTGCACTCAGTACATTCGGTGGATTTGTATTCCTAGCAGCACTGATCACGACTATTGTTGTATTGGTCCGAAGGTGAGTCAAATTGAAAACTTTTATTGCATCTGCTAAATTCACATCTTTCGAGAACTTTTCATCCTAAATTGCACATTTTTCATTCACTCAAAAAACATTCTTCTGTGCATTTCCCTTACCGATAGGGGTCTATTTATTAATGACGTCTATGGGATATTGTGACGTCATAAATGAATGGCTCCATATAATGTGTTTTTTATGATTTTTATTATTTTTTTCGCACTGAAAAGTTTTTATTTTATTTTGTTGTAAGTCTCACCATCTTCAATTTTTTTTTATAATTTTCTTAACTGTAATTATTCTGTAAATAGAACTCAAGAAAATAATAAAAACGAGAAATAATCAATTTCTCAAAGCTACTAGAAAATGAGGGCACGTGATAATGCGACTCACAATTGTTGATCGATTCAAAGCTGGTGCACAAAATTTTTCTTTCTCTCTCGCTATGCCTTCTTCCTACTCTTTTATCATCTTTATTTCTATTTTATAATTTTTTTTAAAAAATCTTTTTGTTTTGGCATTTATTAGTTAAATTATTTTCTTCCCAATTTAAAAAATTGAGCAAAATGAGAACAAAATGTTATTTTATTTCTAATTTTTCATTTCTTTCCTCATTTCGGACACAAACTAATCGGGTCTTTCGATAATAATGAATTATAAAAAAATATAAATGTTTAAAAAATAAAAAAAATCAGCACGAAAGCGTCTCGAGACGTAAATCAACAGCCACATAATCTGTTGAGTAACAACACAACGCTATCAAAATCGCAGTATTATGAGCAGTCGCACAATCATTTGCCCTCGTCGAGGTGGTATACTGTGCTTGCATTACCATTTCCTGATCAAAAGCTTGCACGACGTGATATCAGTACGTTTGGTCGACATGGCTTTTATCAATCACGAGCCGGTTACTTCAGTGAACCATCTCCACCTTTATGATTAGAACCTAATCCTTTGTCGCAACAAGACAGTGCCATACTCTATGATTTTTTCAATTACAATACTTATGATACAAATGTGTAAGGATGTTATTCAAATTATTTTTGTAGACTTTAATACATGCACAATCCTTTGATTCTGAGTACCAAATTTCCTCGTTGAAGATGCCATACAGAAGCACCTTAGGAGAGAATAATTCTGTATTTTAGTTCAATTTATGAAATTAGTCTGTATTGCATATTCATACTTTCCATTTACATCATAAAATGATCATGTAGAATGTAGGAAATACTGTTCAATGCAACGAAAACTTTCAAAATGCTCATGCTCAAGACATAACGGCTTAAATTGCTCAATTACTCTGAAAGCTGTACAAACTTTTCACGGTTTTATTTTGAATTTTATTATGAATTTGTAGGGTTTTGGATTAATTTATGTAGGAATTGTACGGTTTTCAAATTTTTAATTGCATTTCTTTATCTTTAAATTCCATTTAAAATCCTTATTTGCTGATAATCATGCTCTAAAGCTCCTTTAAAGTCATTGAAACTACACAACTTATCATATTTCATAAATTTTCGAACAATATTCTGTCAATTTTATTTCTACTGGATCTTAGGGCTGAATGTTTGAAAGTTTTCGTTCTTATTAAGCATAAAAATCCATAAAACTAATGTAAATAAGACAACAATCTAACATATTTTCTTATAAATAACTTCAAATTTATAGAAATCGTAGTTCCTCTCAACATTACCGTCACCGAGCCTCGCCCGATTGCAATACAGTTGCTTCCTTTGATAGTTCCAGTTCAGAATCACGAAATGGATTAAATAGGTATAAATAAAATAGCACATTATTCCCAAATTAGAAATTACACGATAAATTATGCGATTTGTATCCACAATGGCTGTTAATCGGAAGCATTTATCAATTTTCTAGATATTATCGACAAGCATGGGAGAATCTACATGAATCAGCATCAAAAAATCACAATCAGTTGCGACGAAAGGAAACGTTAGATCCACAAAATTTGAGTAGATCACGTGATAATTTAGATAGCCGCTCTCGTGAATTAGACAGGTAATGATGCTCTTCTTTTTAATATCATGTCTTTTTGTTGCTTTACATTTTTTGTCATTAGTCACTAATTCCATGTCCAAAAAATTTGATCCAATTTATTGTACATAACATCTCTTGACCATTCCCATACTATTGTACAAATTATCCCTGTCCAAAAAAAAAACAAAACATGAATATTGAATGTACAGATTTTTTAACAGATCTAGGGAGAATCTGTCAAGAGGGCGGGATTTTGGACGAGATAGTCTCGGTTTAAGAGACGGTTCAGAAATGGTTGTGTCGGATGCTTGTGTAAAAGGTAAGCTTGATGTTTTTCTTATTGTTTGTTTCTTGCCTGTGTGTTGCTTTATAAATATATATTTTTTGTTGGGATAAATCTATAATCATATACGCTTTATACTGTTGTAAATTACTGTGCTTTTATATCTGTTTGTCTCATTTTTCCCACTGAGCACATTTGTTTCCAAAAAGAATCGAATCATTTCCATTAAAAAAAGAATTGCAATACAAAACCTTCAAAAATTGACAAAGATTTAAATTAAATTTTATTCATTTTTGTCTGATCTTATCATTTGCAGGAGAAAGAAAGCGTCATCATCACCATCATCACCACAGTAAACAAAATCGAAATAGCAACGAATTAAATCGAAATCGTCATAATTATTGACATCATAGAATGGTTATCACTATCAATTTAGATGAATAGGCTTACTTCTTCTTCTTTCCTCATCGATCGATCAATCGCCGATGACGAACAAGTGTTTTTAAAATTAATTAAAATTTAAATTATAAGACTTTTTATCATACTGACCAAGTTTTCTTTATTTTTGATTGTTTAGTAAGTTTTTATATACAATGATGTAAGTTTAAAATTGTAATAATTAGGAATGTATTGAAATTGTTCACAAATGTCCCAAATATTGTGGTACGTGAAGCAATAATTAGGAAACAAATTATAAAAAGTCACTAGTACTTGCAATTATCGTGATTTTGTGAGTTTAAATTCTGTAAGTTTCTTGATACAATTTTTAAAGTTCATAATTAGAATTTTAACCGTTTTTGAAGTTTAAAATATGAATTTAAATGATATTTTTATTTCATAATTTAAATTTTAACGTTTTTTCAAGTTCAAAATTTGAATATTAACGATTGTTGAAGTTTAAAATATGAATTTTAACGGTTTTTAAAATTCAATATTTGAATTTTAACAATTTTTAAATTTCAAATTTGAAAATTAATGAAATTTTATACCTAAATTTGAATTTTAACGTTTTTTCAAGTTCAAAATTTGAATATTAACGATTGTTTAAATTTGTTTAAAATATGAATTTTAACGGTTTTTAAAAGTCAATATTTGAATTTTAACAATTTTTAAATTTCAAATTTGAACATTAATGAAATTTTATACCTAAATTTGAATTTTAACGTTTTTTCAAATTTTGAATATTAACGATTGTTGAAGTTTAAAATATGAATTTTAACGGTTTTTAAAAGTCAATATTTGAATTTTAACAATTTTTAAATTTCAAATTTGAACATTAATGAAATTTTATACCTAAATTTGAATTTTAACGTTTTTTCAAGTTCAAAATTTGAATATTAACGATTGTTGAAGTTTAAAATATGAATTTTAACGGTTTTTAAAAGTCAATATTTGAATTTTAACAATTTTTAAACTTCAAATTTGAACATTAGCAAATTTTTATGCCAAAATTTGAATTTTAACGTTTTTTCAAATTCAAAATATGAATTAAAACTCTTTTGAAAATCAAAAACTTTAAATTGAATCAAAAATTCAAAATCAATCTGCAAAACAGATTTAAACTCACAAAAATGCGTAAAAATTAAAGAAATTTTCATCTCCGTAAACTCAGTAAACTCTTCTTTCATTCCGTACCGTTTCGTACTCAAATCGATTGAGCAAAATATGCACTTAAAGAAATTTTCGATAGTGATATACCGTTAATTAACTTTCCTGCACGCTATTTTGTGGACATTTTAAATGTAGAATGAATGAAAGTTTCTTTAAGTGTAAAACCCTTCCATTTATTCGCTATAATATTGTTCTGTTTATGACACATTTTCAAGCATTTAATTGAAAGGATGAAATTCTCTCAAGAAATCTCGTTTATTTTATTGCAAGAAAATCATTTTTATTTATTTTAACTATATTTTAAGGTCATGATTATACTTAAAGGCGTGCTTTTTGTGCTGCTGGATAAGTTGGAAGTTATGAGAGGTTTTTAATTGGATCGATAATTTTGCCTTGTTTATGGGTGGTTTCTTACATTTTAATTGTAAATTGGAAATCTCTTCCTACGTTGATTGCGAATAACTTTTTTGGGGGAAAAATAAATTCAGTTGAAAGAGTTAATTGAGATTATTAAATGTTAAATTGTTTGTAAACATGAAAGAAAGCTTTATAAGCAATTAAAATAATCTTTTGATTTTTTATGAGATATTGATGAAATTTAATGTGTTTTTGTTTATTTAATTTCGTTTAAAAATTGCTCGTTATGTAGTTTATTTAAAACATTTGCTAGGGTTTAATTTAAAATTTTTGTAGGATTTCAAAAAATTAACGATTAAACTCAATTTGAATTCTAAAATCAAACCAATGTTTAAAATTTCAAAATAAATTTGAATTCTATAACCGTACAAATGTTTTAAAATAAGATTATTAAAGTTTTAAAACATTTGTATATTTTTAATTTAAAAAATTAATTTTGATCAAAAAAGGAGCAATTTCTAATCCAACCAGCCACAGATACCACGCCCTAAAATCTCTTTTACATAAAAAAAAATTAACCAAGATTTGTTTCATAAGTTTTAGGATGATATCTTGACCATTTCTAAATAAAAAGTTACTTGTAAATGTGCACCTCACACATTAAACAATAATTATACATTATATATTGAAAAGAAAAGTGTAATTTTCGGACTATTCTGGTTTAATTTTTCTCTTCTTTAAGTAGGCATTCAGGGCACATCATGTTTAGTTTTCATTTAGATTAGGTCGACAATATCAAAGATATGGTTTTAATATAAAAAATATATTATGTATGTTTAATGTTGCTTTAATTACGCACACGACTTTATAAATTAACTCTTATGTTTTTATTTGATATTTGTTAAAGGAATCTTATTAATGGATGCAATTTAATTGGTGCCATTAAATGGGCAAAAATAAAAAATTAAAGAAAATTTTTGTGTAAAGAAAATCGCTGCAATAATAAGGAAGAAAAATATGTGAATGAATTGAAAGAATAATAGTGCAATATCTTCAAAAAAAAAATATAATTTTTCATTTCTTTCTCGTACTCAATATTTTATTATTGATTTTGCACCGAATTTCTGCACCTTTTGATTATTCAAATTGCAAAAAAAAACAACAACATATATTATGTAAAATCACTTTTTATAATACTTACCTTAAAATAATCAATTTTGGATTTATGTAATTATTCTCTTAGCAAGTAATGACATTTTAAACATTGACGATAAAAATAAATTAGATTTATATTTGTGTACATACATTCGAAAAAAAGAGGATATCTAGTTGAATAAAATAAAGAAATCTTTTGTAATTGTAAAATAAATTGACTTTGAGTTTTGACTTTGTTTTGGAATTTTCAGAATTAAATTTCAATTTCAGCAGATAAAAAAGCAAAAACTTAAATTTGAATCAAAAACTTCTTTGACCAAGTTAACTTTGAGTTTTAAATTTTTTTAAAACATTTTGGTTGAGGAACTATAAGACAAAATTGGTAATTTCATTAATTTTCATATTATTAAACATAGAAAGCAGCCACAAATCAGTGGAAAGTCATCAACAAAGATAGTCAAACAATTAAAATTTGGAGTAAACTTTACAACTCGCATAATTTTCACAAATTTTAAAAGATTTGTTTACATTTTAAATTTCGTTCACTTTTTGAGTATTACCATACAGACGATCCTTAATTCAACTATAGAAATGAAAACACTTCTTTGATGCTTTAAATAATTTATTTTTCTTCACAAAGTGGCTTATTAATAAGCATTTTAAATCAAAAAGGTGTGTGATTACAACCGAATATCTATAAATTAATCATTCTTAACTTAAAAAACTTAGTCTTCCATTTCACGACAATCATTGTTGCCTCACTCAGTATTATATTTATCGTGCTTATGAAAATGATATAATAAAAGGTTCCCAAATCTTTGAATTACACAAAAAATGACAGAACAGCTACAAACTCTTTTGTGACTTAAGTTTTAAATTATAGACTTCAAGATTGAAGGTTTTCATTAAACTGTTTAATGATCAGTTATTGAATGTTAATCTGTATAAATTGCTTAATTCGATCACTTGTTGCCACAAATATATCTTAGGCACTTGAATTTTAACATCCAGGATAAGAAGAAAAATCCAGTAATAAGAAAGTGAAAATTCATATTCAGTCAGAATTCTCTGCTCCAGTCCTATCTATTTGTGTCATTCAAAGGTTTTCAAGAATAATAACTTATTAAAAAGACATTAACAATCTAAAAGTCTAAAAAGGTAATATTTAAATACTACATGTTTATAAAAAGGGATTGCTGATATTCCAGTCAAATTTAAGAGAATAGATGTCCACAATTTCATCGACTCGTTCCTTAATAGTTCTTAGTTTAAATTCAAAGTTTACACAGTCAATTGTGGACATTTATTTGCATTATTTTCGCATGTCTTATGTTCGTTAATGATTATGCTGATGAGTTATTGCGATAGGAATTGTAATTAACATTCTTAATCCAAAATTACAGAAGATACAATTAAAAAAATATTAAAGCATGACAACAGCAAAGGTTGTAAGGAGGAACAATAAACTAGAACTAAGCGCTAAGTAAACACGGTGAGTTATTTATTATCCGAATTAAATACTTAAAAACTAATGTAAAGTCAGAGATTGAAGTCATTTAAAGGTGATTGACTGGAGGAATTTTCAAAAAGTTTCAAAAAATTCTTATTCAAATTGTCACAATCTAAGGATATTCTATCCTAATTTCCATTACGATTGATTTACAGCACCAAACATCCCTAATTACATTCTAAATTTAATCCAGACAACCTTAATTATTCATAAACATTTCAATCTCATAAAGCATTGGAACTAATTCCTTTTAAATTCATCTTCATTTCATTAGTATCGTAACATTAGTGTCGGCATCGATCAGTTCTTCCAACTTGATCGTAGACAATCCTGTAGCACAGCAAATCTCATCAAAATGATTCATTCCGTTGTACATTTTCTGTCGAGCATTTGGAATGGAACCAGTAAATATTGGATATTTATTGATGCATCTAATTAAGCTATGCTTTAAGCCATAATCGACTAGTTTTCGTTCATTTATGTTGTTTTGTCGGGGCGATAATCGTATGCATAAAGTCTTTAAATTGACACCGTGGGTCATTTGTGAATAAATCTAGAATTTAAAAAATTTAAATTAGGTCAATTTAGTGAAATAATGCTTGGGATATGAATTATTAATGAAAATGTGCTGCATAAATAATTAATTTGGAAAAAACCGCCGTTAAATTTTCAAATCTTTGGTTTGAAGCCATACAAAAGTTTTTAAAATTTCAAATAATTTCGTTAAAACCTTACAAATGTTTTTTGAATTTTTTCGGTTAAAAATTGATATTCTCAGCACAAAAACTTTCAATCTTTATAAATAAGTAACTCCTTTCACTCATTACAGAACAATTACTTTCTAAAATTAAACTCTTTCTCACCTGAAAAACATTATAAATAGTAGGAATAGGTTGATCGTTTTTTAAAGCGACATAGCTTAAACACTCCTGAGCAAAATCTTGATTCCTTGCCAACTTTTGGAGATTTCTAGTGCACATATATACATTTGAATATTTAAAAAGTGGCAAAAGCTCAACGAAATTATAATAAACGAGGTTCTGTATGCATGACTTGACCAGAGCATTTTCGACATCGGCGAGCATTGAAATTTTTCCAACATGATGTAAGCCATTAATGAATGGCAAGACTTGTTGAGTTGTCAAATCACATTCACTAAGTGACATATTCTCAAATTCTCGTTTTAAAACTGGCACTTGATGATCAAAGACTTCTGGCGGATCGTCAGTGATTTTGAGAATCTTTAAGTGAATTGACGTTTCCTCTTCTGTTATTGTGCATACTTTTGACTCATTGAGATCACTTATAATTTTATTTAGCATCTTTTGTATGCGTGGACGATACTCGTCATTGGATAGGAAGCTATATTGCATTTCCATCATAATTAAAAATTCACAAAGTTTCTTAACAATCGGCTCGTACTGAACACTCCGACAATAATGATCACAGACAAAGCAAATGTTAAAGTAGAATGCATTTCGTGCATATTTCTCATGATCAATTTTCACTGGATATCCAACAATCTTAATGCCTAATGTATTGACTGTTAATACTTGCCGCTCAAGTTCTCTTTTAGGCAGAATATAAGCGTTTATCAAATCGAATGCATGCTTTGAGATGAAATTTTGCGGTGACTGACATGTTATTTTACTTCCAGCGGTCGCATGAAACTCCTACAAATAACAAATTCATTATTTTACAATTGACACAGCTGATATTAATGCGAAGCTTTATCTTTGCTTATATACACAATGCCTGTTTGAGATAGGAAATTCCCAATAAAATGATACTCAAAACATAATGAGTCATCAGATTCGCACATTCTTTATTGGATATACACAGCTTATACTTACCGAAAGAAATATGCATCGTATAATTCCTTCTTTGCCAGCCAGATTGCTTTCTTGTGTCAACATTACAAAATAGCTTAACTAATTTAAATGGTTGAAACTTTTCTTTTATCGCATTTTCAGTTTATTTGTAAACAATACAGCAAATATTTATTTATATTGCCTGCCTGCTTGAAATGTCCACATGAAAACATAAGAACTGAAACCTCGATTTTGTGACACTTTCGCGTTTGTTTTGAGAGCCGCTTAATTTGAGCTGTTTTTAGTGTCTGGATCTTTATGATGGAATTTCTTTGGAATGTGCATTGAGAATTTATATAGAATTGGCTCTTATTGATGAGTTCTGCTGGATGATTTTAATTATTGAATCTTCGGATTAAAACTAGTGACATTTAATCTTTGGATAAAGAGAAGATTTAAATTAAATCTTAAGATTAACAATTAATCCATAGATAAAAGATAAATCTTCAATAAATCCAATACTTTTTGAAAATTATAATCCAACAGAACTCAATTTTACATCCTGCAAAACTCGTCGGAACCAACAACACATTTTCTTAAGTTCACGTAATTAAAATAATTCAGAAATTTCTTTTATTTCAACATTTTTTCACATTAATTAAGCTTAATAGTAAATTTAATTCTTGATTTTCTGCATTTCTACATCCATAATTCCAGCAGCCAACTTCTTCTCCATCTCCTTAGCTGGCATGTAAACAATCTCTTCTTCCTCATCCTCCATTGTCACATCCAATTTCTCTGTATCCTTCTTTCTGATGCCTTCTGGTGCTCGGATCAGTGCTATATTCTTCTGTACATCACGAATATCCATATGAATTTCACGTTGTGTGCCTGTTCGTAGTCGTTCCATAACAAAGTGCTTCTCTCGTCTCTCTTTGATTTCATTGATCTTTCTGATGGCACTGACTGTTTTCGTCCATAATTCACGATCGTATTTGACTGGAGCATTTCGTTTCTTCTCAAATTCAAATGCTGGATCTATTGTTAATTCTTTTCCGGCTAATTTACGGTATGCTTTAGTCCATTTTGCCTTTCTTGGATTCTTCTTTCGCTGGAATGCCTTCCTGCACTTCTTGCGGCAAAATCTGAATTGCTGTGGATGAAAATTTCATTGAATTTTGTAATTATGAAGCAAAAATTTTCAACAACTTACTTTGCAGTCATTTCTGACGAATAACATTCCATGTCCTGGATAAACCTTGCTAGAACAGAAATAGCAAGTCTCAATCCTCATTTTGATTGTGTTTTTGTGTCTTTAAACAGCTTAATTACTATTAAATTTAATTAATTATTGTGAACTTATTTGTGTTTTTGTGAAAACACATGTGGAAAGAACTCTCCGAATAATTTGAATTTTGAAAATACGTTTTCAAAAAGTCTACAATTTGGTTTGGAGAATTTAAATTCGAATTTTTAAAAAGCCGTTGGAATTGAGTTTTGCTTTGTGAATCTCATTTAATGATTCTGCAATGATTTACTATTAATTGTATTATCTGAGTATGCAAACTAATCAAGATTTATCTGTTTGCTCTAATTGAGATGCATATTTGTCGATATTATCATTTTAATTAAGGTTTTTTGGGTTTTCTGCAATTTATTAACAGCTATAACATTTTTTGTTGACCAAAAGAGGCTCAACTAGCTTCAAACAAGGTAGACAAACAATTGTAGCAATTGAAAATGTTATGAGCAAACAAAATTTCTAGGTAAACAAACAAAATTCATCACACTACATGCTAATTGCATTCAACTGACTTTCATTACTATAATTTCTAATATGTTGCTAAGGCACAATGATCCAAGGCATACTTGGAAGTATTTCCTCAGTTCTCAAAACTAATTAATTTGTCAAAACAGAAATTTTTCAAATCGCACGTGGACAGCGTTTTATGACAATAGTCGTGCATTTTATAATCTAATCATTGAATAGCTCGATCAATTGATGTTCCTTTATCATAAAAACTCAACTATTTAATTTATAATTTTGAAAAGAATCTTTTTCAATGTCACGTCCATTTAGACGACACAATTGATGATTTCGTGAATGCAATTTTAGTTTTTACGTTGATGCATGTATTGAAAGAAAATGCAATATTTTGACGTGATTAGCAGTAAAATGTACTTGATGTCTCATTCACCGTTTAGTCTCCGTAGTGATCACTTCGGGGTAGGATAAAGTAACTAAGATGGTTCGTTCGAGCTTTCTTGAAATTCTACCGCAAGTTCTAGCGGTTAGTGTTAAGAATATTGTGTTAATAGGTAGGAATATAGTGCTGTGAAAATATAATTCATAGAATTGATGAAATTTTAGATGGTTTGTGGAGATTTTGAAATGATAGAGTGCATGTTATGGATACATTAGTTTAAAAACTCAAGTTTGTACAGTTGTTTTGTCTAATTTGATATTAGAACAACTAATAACAGCGTCAAATTTCATAAAAGTCAATTGTGAAACAGCTGAGAACCTTACAAATGTTTTTGACTTTGGTTGCATTTGGATGGTTTTGACATTTAAAATTCTCATAATCCGTTAAAATTTTGAATTATTAAAAACCGTTGACAATTTAATATCTTAAACTGATTACAGGCTTTGGAATGACCCTTGGATTTCCAACACTCCTAATATCTTCACTCAAAAATCACGACGATGACCTTGAAAATGACGGATTATCGTTAACCAAAGAACAAATATCATGGATCAGTTCATTGAACTTAATTTGTGTACCACTCGGATGCATTTTTTCCGGAAGTTTTGCAACCTTGATCGGACGACGTCGTTCAATGCAACTTGTGAATGTTCCAATATTTATATCATGGATTATCTTTTTCTACTCACAACATGTTTATCAATTGTATATTGCTTTGGCTATAAGTGGATTTACTGGTGAGCAATAGCTGGAATCGTGCTAGAAATTTTAAAAACTTAATTCAATCTTAATCTACTAGGTGGTATGCTTGAAGCACCAGTCCTGACTTACGTCGCAGAAATTACAGTTCCAAAAATTCGCGGTCTCCTTGCTGCAACTGGAAGTACATGCATAATTTTGGGCATCTTCTCTCAGTTCATCATGATAACATTCCTAAATTGGAGAATAATCACATTAGTCTCATCAGCTGTGCCTATAATTGCTATAATCTTGTTATTCTTTGTCCCAGAATCACCACACTGGCTGATCATGAAGAAACGAGATGAGGATGCAAAGGAATCAATGATGTGGCTTAGAGGATGGGAAACATCATTCGATAATGTTAGGAAGGAATATGAAGAACTGCAAGAGAACTTAGCTTTAGCTAGGAATGAAAAGCCATCATTTAAGAACAACGTGCAAGAATTTGGGAGACGAACCTTCATCCTGCCTTACGCAATTTGCTCATTAAGTTTCTTTGTTGGACATTTTAGTGGAATGACAACACTTCAGACATATTCAGTCATGATATTTACGGACTTAAATGCACCGATGGACAAACGTCTTGCAACTTCATTCCTTGGTGCTTTAGAACTTCTAGGAACTTTAATTTGTGTAATTTTCGTTAATTTCGTTGGAAAACGAAAACTTGCGTTCGTGTCTACAATTGGATGTGGAATCTGCTTCTTACTTACAGCAATTTATTCGATCGTGATAAACAATATGGAAGTTCCTGCAAGCAACTTTAATTTGACAAATTTAGAATTAGAAAATTCTACAGGCGTGCACGAAAGCTTATTAGAATCGGAAGTTCTAATTCATAATGAGACTATGTTCGGATTGGAGCTGAATTCTACAATTATTGCTTATAATCAGTATTATTGGATGCCTTTAACATTTTTATTGCTTAGTGCTTTACTGTCGCATACTGGTATTAGGTTGTTGCCATGGATGCTAGTTGGAGAAAGTAAGTTTCAAGGTTGATGACAATTGTGTCAATGACTCTAGAGGAATTAAGACTTGATTTATTGTTTATTTTAGTATTTCCAGCAAAAATACGAGGTGTGGCATCAGGCTTATCAGGTGGTACAGGATATATCTTTGGATTTCTGGCAAATAAATTGTTCCTGTCGATGATCACATTGTTCTCGTTGTCAGGAACATTTATTATTTATTCGTGTGTGAGCTTCATTGGATGTACAATATTGTTCTTCTTCTTGCCAGGTAAAGATGTGGATTTGCTTATTCTTTTACATTTTGCAGTAATCAAGCATTTCTTCGTTTTCAGAGACTGAGAACAGAACTTTACAAGAAATTGAAAATCATTTTGCTGGAAAGACGAAACTTCCAAGACGACTAATCAAAAAATCCTCAATAGTTCCAGACACCTTCCCAAAAGACTTTAACGTGAAGAACTGGGAAAGCAATGACAAATTTGTAAAGTACTTAGAGCATGTAAAGAACCAAAGAGTAGTTAAGACAAATGCTGAAATTATAAAATGCAATGAATGTGATTTTGACACAAGACTTTGATGTATTTCAATTCATACAATTACTTCCTTGAGTTAAAGGAAGGTACGGTAGTTTATTAAGGCATTATCATAGATTTATTAAAAAAATATATGAAAATAAATTAAATGTAAATTCTTAAAATTCTAATTAAAATGAGATTCAAAACGCACAAAATCATATTTTTCAGTAGAAATTAATTAATTAATTAAGGCAGGCTCATAGTCATTTAACATCTATCGCGACTACAATCTATTGCATTATTACTTATCTCTGTTGTATTGGTGGGTGGTCCATCAAAATATAAATATTGTAGTGGATGCAATTGTGATTCATTTATTGTTAAATCTCGTGCAAATCCACCGGGTCTTGGTGGATTTTGGTATATGTCGTGCTTTTTATTTGGATATTTTGTTGCCACATAAGTGTTGGAACTGTATGATCCTTGGGGTTGCTGTTGTTGATGAGATTGTTGAGTTTGTATAGGTGTGTAGCTGACTGAGCAGCTTCGCCATTGTTCTTTCTCTACTCCGACGTAGCACCTGTTTTTGAGGGATTTTATGATTGTTTCTTAAGTATTCTAGGAATTAATTTTAATGGTATGATTTGTTGTTAGTCATGAAAGCGCGATTTTCCTTTAAAATATTTTTTATAATCAAGGAAAATCTGCAAAAATTTTAAAAAAGCAAAGCAAAGCTCACAAAAAAAAAGCTGGCAAAGCTTCAGTCAAAATAAGTTCAGTTAGTAAAGAAAATTTGCTTATTAGCATATTAAAATGTAGAAATTGATACCTGGATATTAAATTGATTAGCTTTTGTTGGAGTTTCTTAAGTTAATAGATATCAGGCTCGATTTGAGCCTTAAGAAGCTTGAAAATTGAATTTCAGTGGAAATTCTTTCGCAAGTAAAGCTGCAACAGCGATAATGCAAAACAAACTGAACTGAACATAGTTTAAGTTGTGATTCTGTCAATCTCATTATCAACTTTCAATAGCTCAATGGCAAGAGTATGCGACTTGAAGTCGTAAGATCGTGGGTTCGAATCCCTCTCGTGATAAGGTGTTTTTCTATATCAGATTGTAATTTTTTTCTCACTTAAAAGATTAAAAATCTACCGTAGCTTTATTCCTAATTCCCACAAATTTCAAAGTCAAGCTTTTTGGGGCTATCAATTTTAATTTGCGTATCTAAAACTAGGGTTGATTCCATGGGTTGCAACTAGTCACAGTTAAAGTTATCTATTATCTCAGATTATTTATCGACTTATGCCAGCTTCAGGCGTCTTCTAAGAGAGGCCTTGGATCACAATTAATCTGTACGGTCAGAAAAGGAAGTATTAATCGATTCTCGATTCGAAGAAATGCTCCCTTAGCAGCCTCAGCTACCAAATCTCAATATCCAGACAACAAATCTTCAAATCAAAAACATAAAAATTATAAGCACATGAAAAGCACAAAAAATTACCAAGGATATTCAAAATCTCTACTAAAGCCACATGGATGATCTTCGCGACAGCAAAAATCCCAGCTTCCAATTTCTCCACCTTCAATTTCACACGAATAAAATCCAGCAACGTGATTCTTTTCACATTTTGTTCCCATTCGACATGGCTTGCCGCTTACAGAATAATGTCTCCATGTACTTATACCACCTTGTTATATCAATCAAGGGTTGGATTTTTTGGAAATTTTTTTATGGAGTTTATTTTGTGTGTTATATAAGAATCAGTTATTTTATATATGTTTGGAAGTAGAACATCATCATAAATGTAAAGTAATTGAAAATATAATAAGTAAGTAAGATTAAATAGTAGAAATGCATGTAATGAGAGGTTTTGAGGTATGATTTATAGATATTTTATGGAAGGGCATGTGATATGGAAAATAAAATAATAAATATTGCATACTTAATAGTAACTAATGATGAATTTTTTCACTTTGTGCAGGCATCCGAAATAAATAATAAATAATGCATCTTATGCTACAAGGATTAGTATCAGAAGATTTAATTTTGACAAAAAAAAAAAAATAAATAAATTAAGGAACTGCGAAAAAGTTTATGAATTTTTTTTTAATTATTTTTGTGCAGTGGAGGATGACGATGATCCTGTTAATTGAGTTTGTGAATGATTGGAAACGTGTTGTGAAATTGGTGATGATGATGTCACTTGTGATGAAATCACGGATGTTCTATTAAATAGTTTACCGGGTTCACGGAATATGTCCATACGACGATCGCTATTGACTCGACTTCCACTAATCGATGTGATTTTATCACGACACGTGTAATCCCATGGATCCCATGCAAACAGCCAGAAATCTCGATTGGGTGTGTGCGTATAATGAACATCCAATTTCAATTGACTTTGATCTAAATCTGACATTTCGCAATTGAATGTGCTGACTTGTGAACTGAAAAAATGACGAGATTAGACATGATTAATATTACTCAATCAGTTCTAATTTCCTTGTTTAAATTCAATTACCCGAAGCTGAATGATAAGCATTTGAAGGGCGATGTTTCACGATATCTGATGCACTCATTTTTGCACTCCAACTCTGTTGAGACTGTGATTATCTTTTTAATTGCTGATGACAAAAGCTTTGCTGCCGATCCGTAACCCAAATAGCACACTGATATTGCAATGAGAGATAAGAAAAGTGGAATTGGAAATGATTGTTATTATTAGCTTTTGGTATTTGAGGTTAGTATTTTTGAAGCGCAGTTGATACAGTTTCGAGCTTGCTGATTAATTTGGAGCAGGGGGGAAACAACATGGTAGAAAATTTTCTTACTTTAAGCAGTTTTTCTCTTAATGGAAGTTTGAGGTTATGGCCAAGGGGAAAACAATATGATGGGAAAAATATTTTTTGATAATTTTATTTCTTCGCATCATGTTGTATTTCCCTTGGTTTAGTTTCTAATTACTGGGGGTCCTCGATTTGAGTAGGTTTTTTTGTTCCAGAAAAATCCTGTTCAAATCGAAAATACTCATATCGAATTATTTACTTTTTATATGAAAAATGTTCGTTACAAAAATAAATTTTAAATCTTCTATTCTTTAATTTTGGTTCCTCAAATCGAATCTATTCAAATCGAATCTACTCAAAATGAGGACCCCCAGTACTTGAAAGTAAACATTGGTAAACATAATTATGGACTTTAACAATGTCAATCCTAATTGATACTCTTACAAGCATAAGTATAAACTCTTAAAATCAGAGGCCATAGCTAAAGAAATCTGTCCCGTACTTAAGTTTGCCAATAATCACTGAAGACCCTCCAAAAGTAATTAATATTCATAATTATTAAATCACTTGCAAAATCTACATCATTTAAATTGACAAACCGAGACGAAAAACATCAAATGTTCCAACAATTCAAGCTCACACAAAACATTACATAACTTTGTCATTAAACCAAATCATTAAAAATCAGCACTCGCTCAAATAAAACCACTCAAAGCGACTTACATTTCGGATTCTGATGATTGTGTTCATGTGGAACAATTTCACATCCTCGTCCATAGCTAGCTCTCTCGAAAACATCAAAGCCATCATCAGGGATCAAGTGTCTATCATGATCCATGTCTCTTACAGGCCAATCGCTCAATTGACAGTTATCTATGATTGTTCCACTGGTTTTTGATCCATAACGGAATGTAAAGGAGCGACATGTAAACTTTTGTGCTTTGATGCACTCAATTTCACAGTCTTTAATGGAATGAACTGTTAATGAGTCTCTCACAATGGCTTTAAAGAATCTTTTGTGGTCGATTGTGCGGATGAAGCATTCTGAATGGAAATAATTAAAATTTTATTTTGTGTCAAGTCAGAATTGAAAATTTTACTCACGGTCGTTAGGACTTCCATAAGCGAAACTTTGTGGCGGTTCTTTCTTACAAACTGAAAAATCGTCACTCATTGCATAAATGTCGTAATTTCTATCAGGCACAATATCTGCGTAAGCATCAAGGAAGCTGAATGAACGATCACAAAGAAGACAGTTGTCACGCATGGGCTCAGAATAGCGGTAACTGTAGACGCCACATTTAAATTTGTTTTCTTCGTAGCACATTTTCTCGCATTCCTTTACACTAGCTGCTGTCATTGCATTTCTTACGATTCCTTTATGAAGTCGGAAGCCTTCACTGGTTTTGACAGAGCATTCTGAATTTTTAAGGATCAAATCGATTATTTTAAAGGAATTCTTATTAAATTATTTGCTTACCTTCCAATCCAGGTCTTCTAGTCCACATTGATCCAAAGTTAGGATGTCCATAACTTGGTGGGCTAGGAGATCCATATCGATGATGTACACTATTATCTTCAATTGGTCCAAGTTCAAAGTAATTAAATTGCGGAGGTCCATCAATCCTTTTGATTTCATTTTTTAATCCCCAATAATCAACTTGAGGTCTATAAGATACAGATCCATAAGATCCACCATATGATCCCCAAGAGTCTTGTCCAATTAAATAAGGCACAAATCCAGCTGATGGTTTTTGATGGAAATTAGTATGATAGCTTGGTGGTGGACGTACTGAATCTCTATCATGATATCCTAAACCAGGTTTTGGTGGTGAATTTGGTCCATGATTGCTTCCACTTCCATAACTTATACTTTCTTGAGGAGGCGAATCTGGTTTTGATAGTGAAGGATGGTATGGTGGATCAGGTCTATCAAAATCAGTTGAAGGTTGTGGATTTTGAGGTTTTGGAGGTAGCGGTCTATTATATCCTTCGTCTGTTGGTCTTGAAGGGATTGGCTGTGGACGGTTATAGCCCTCATCAGGTCTCGAAGGAATTGGTTGTGGACGGTTATATCCTTCATCTGTAGGTCTCGATGGAATTGGTTGTGGTCTATTGTAGCCATCGTCTGGCCTAGATGGAATTGGTTGAGGTCTGTTATATCCATCGTCTGGTCTAGATGGAATTGGTTGAGGTCTGTTATAGCCTTCATCTGGCCTTGATGGAATTGGTTGTGGTCTGTTATAGCCTTCATCTGTAGGTCTTGAAGGGATTGGCTGAGGTCGAATTGGTGGTGGAGGTCTATAACTGTAATCCCCTGTGTCGATATATCCATGAGAACCAGAAGAAGATTGTTGAGGTGGTCTAAATGGTTTGTGATCATATCCGCCATGATCAATGTCGTATCTGTCAATTGCTTGGAATCCTCCATATGAAGATGGCTTATTGTCAGGATATGATGGCTTGGAATCAATATATAAAGGTTTATCTGGGTATGGTGGCTTATTATCAATATATAATGGCTTATTATCTGGATATGAAGGCTTTGAGTCTGGATAATGTGATCCGAAGTAGTTACTTCCACCACTGTAGAAGTTTGAACTTCCAAAACGATCCCAAGATCCAAATCCTAGTCGAGATTCATAGAAATTATGTTCTGGTCTATATTTATCAATTGCTGTCACTTCAGGTCGATATCTATCTCTATCATGTTCATTTCCACTTGATGGTTTATAGCCAGACGATGATGGTTTTTGACGATTTGGACAATCAACACAATTTGGTCGACAATTTGTTGTCGTTCTATCTTTCTCATAATAATCATAGTCAGGATGTGGAATTAAATTTAAATCACGATTATGTGAACTTGAATATAAATCCATTTGCGAAAGTGGAACTTCAACAAGTTCACATTCACCTTGACCACGACCGCTCGGATCTATGCGATAATTAAAACCTTCACACGAAAATCTCTTCTCCTCTGAGCATTGTTGCTGACAATCTTCAAGACGCTCACAAATAAGCGTGCGACGAACCCAATGTGATGCAACACGCTTACCAGCTAACACACGCCGGAAACATGCTGTGAATTTTGTGAATAATGAAAACAAAAAATTTAATATTATATTCAAATTGATTGTTCTTATAATGACTTTGTGTGTAAATATGTGGATGTTAGTTTTGTTGCTGTGCAGCCCATAAATGCACAATTCAAAAAAAAAAACTTTGTCGATTAAAAACATGAATTGTCATGAAATCTTTTTCTTCCTCGTGCTTACATATGGAGGGTAATTAAGCTTCATATGATATAAAATTTCTAATGCATATGCTCAACAAAAAATATTAATGAGCCTTTTGATTTTTATGCAGATTGCAGAATGATCTGTGTGTGGCTACTGGATGTTTTGTAAAAGTGGGCAGGCGAGTTTGATTCTTGCTAATTTAATTTTGCTGTTTCTTTTTAATTGATACAATTTTATATTTAATTGAAATGATGATAAAAAGTAAAAGTTGAGAGACTCTTTAGTGAGATTTGTAGGTTGCTTCATACTTAGAAATGGTACTGTGAACAAGAGTGAGGAACTGATCAAAATGATCAAAAAAGAACAAAAGTGATCAAAATCGATTAAAATTGATCAAAATCTAATCGCTCAGTTCCGCATCCTTGACTGTGAATTAAAGCACTCCTTAGGATTACATTTGTTTGACTACTTGATTGTAGTGCAGCTGGATTTTTTTAAAATGAAAGCTAGTAGCAAACATGAACGACTTCTAAGCTTAAATTCAGAATCATTGTGAAATGTTGAAGTTTCAGGCTTTGTGGATATAACTTTTGGCACATTTCAATGAAATCTGATTAATCCTTGAACCTTCTATTAATGGTCAACAATTTCATCTTTAATTCTTTTTAATCAAAATAATAATTCACGTTTTAATCCTTCAATTTAATTTAAACATCTCTCAATATAATCATTAGTAGACCAAATAATTCTAAGTATCATCAAGCACTTGCTCACAAGCAAACCAATTCACTTTACAATCCATCCGATTGTTTCATTCATGAAAATCACAGCTTCTAGACTTCTCATATTTCATAGATTTCACATGAATTTTATCTTATCTGAACAACAATCTTTATTGCTACCTCATTTTATGAGTTGAATCTAGTTCCTATACGATTTTTAAATTAATTTTTTGTTGGTTTTTAATATGAGAATTATTTAACTTTTGTGGATCTGGTAATTAGCATATAAAAACCATTTAGTTTTTGGTTTAATGACTTTGATTCTAGACTTTTGTTTGGAATGACTCTTGAGGTGTCTTTGGGCTTGAAATTTAGAATTTGATTTATTTTTTGTTAACTTTAAAAGCTACTAAGTTCTTAAAACACTTGTAAATTATCACATTTCAGCAGTTCAAGTCAACTTTAGTTAATCTTTAGACAATTGAAGTCAACTTTAGTCACTAAATTTCTACCACAAACTCTTCATCACATTTCAACCCACCTTTTGGATCCTCTAGAATAATTATTGAACTTGGGGGCTCTAGAAAACTAAAAGTTGCTACAGAAAATTCTAAACCACTAAGTAATATTATTATAAATTTAACTACACTCATTGTAAACTTTTAATTTTTTTTTATTCCTTAATTTGTTTGTTCTATTAAGCTTATGTAACAGTAACTCATTAGTCAGTCTTTCATATCACATAAAAAGTTTTTTAATAATTTTTTTTCCAGCTACATGAACAATTTATAAAGTTTTTCCTTTAAACTTATTTCCACGAAAAAAAAAATAAAATTGCAGCAATAAAATAAAAACAGTCAACAACTGCAATGCATATTTCGCGGTTAAATCGGATACTAAAATTCAATTCAAATTTGTTTTACTATTTATACATTTTACTCGCACGTGAGTGTATACTACAGAAGAGAACAAACGAGTGAGAAAACTAGATGCAGAGAGATTGAAGCGTTTACATTATGGCTAGTCTGTTAATGAGCACAAAAAAAAAGTCATCTTTTTTTTTCTGTATAGTATAGAATGGATGTATGGAGGGGTGAGCATGCAAAAGAGTCAAAAAAAATTTTAAAGTAACATTTAAAGTAAAATTGTGTGTTTATGAAGCAATTTGCATAGCCTTCAAGTTGCTTTTTTTGTTTTTTGAATGTAATGATGGGTTTGTAGATGAAGAACTTACTAAGTGAGCTTTTAATGGGTTTATTTACTCTTATGAAGTCCAACATTCAGAGAGAAAGAAGACACGGAATGGAAAAAGAGTTGAAGCAAGACAGGAAGGAGTTAAATTGTTGTTTTTGCTAAGAGACATCATTTATGAACAACCCCAAAGTGTCATTCTGAGAGAGGATTGATAACTTTGAGAACAAAAGTAAGTTTTGAGCAAAAATTCATTGACTTTGGATAAAATTTTGATATTTTTTCATGGACTGTCCATATCAAAAGTTTAAGTGATTCTAAAATAATCATTTCTGATTTATATTTGGATATTTTGAATGATAATTGTTCTCTAGCTCGGAGCACGTAAGATTTTATCCAAAAATCCTTTTTGGAATGTTCAAAAGTTGATTTTTTGAAACTTTTACGTTGTAAAAAACAAAGTTGCATTAAAAAGTAAATAAAACGTAATAATATCAAAACTACTACACCATAAAACAATAAATTAATCAACAATTAATCGAAAGAATTGAATCATTTAAAAGAAATGCTTGAGATGTTTGAGGAAAATTTTCCATTTCAATAGAAATGCGGGGAAAAATCTATCATTGAAAGAATTACCTCATATCAATTGCTCAATTTATGCATAGATGAAAATAATTACATGATTGTTAAGCCATAGCATCAAGTACAATCATTAAGCACATTTGAGTTAAAACAATGCGGATAGCTAATTGCTGAATGACATTAATTGTTGACTTTGGGTGAAAACAAATGTAATAATTTTGACATTAAAGAAATTGTTTTCGGGTCTTTAAGCTTGTGGCAATTCTTTGTGCTTACAATTCTCAAAAAAGTAATTATAGAGGACAATGACAACTTAAAGAAATTCTTGAGATTCTTCTGCATTTTTCCGGTTGCCATTAAAGTGCACAGGAACTTAAAAATCACCACGTTAGAAATTTTAATTTATTTGTGTGCCATTTTTACGGTGCAGAAAAAAATTCACATTAAAAAGGAATTAAATTAATAATATGATTAATGTCATGAATTTTTGTTGAATCTCAAACTGAATTTTCCTGATGGCAATGATGTCAGCGACATGTCTACCATAAAATAAATAAAGGAAGGAAGATTTTCCTCATGCGATAAGCTCACAGCACAGCACAAAAAAAATAAGAAATCAGATCAGCTAATTTGCAATAAAATTCCGTTTTAAAACTATCGTGGTCAACGTTGCGGACGATTCTTATGAATTAATTAATTTTCTTGAGACACAGCGTCTACCAAAAAAATTACTTTTAAGCACCACAGTGTCATTATAGCGTGCGAAACTACAATTGAAGGTATTTTTATATGTAAAAAGTTAGAATAAAGACATAACTTAAGCATAATAGTCTCATGAGATCACAAATTTCTTTGTTCTTCTGTGGACTTTGTTGCTAATACATGAAAGCTGAATGGTTTTAATATTCACACTTGCCTATGCTGAATGTGTGTAGAGGAAATGATCTCATTTAATTATTCTGCTTATTTCGCGCTGTGTAATTTAATTTGAATTCTGTGTTGACATGAATGGGGACGAGAATTAATCAGGATTATAAATTGGAAGTAATTAAGTGTTTAATGAGTCTTGGAGTTTGAATTGTTGGCATATGGGTTGATTTATAAGAGCTAGGTTGATAGAGATTTTCGTCAGGAAGCAAGTAAGAAAATTGCAACTTGACTAAGAGATTTATTTTGGAAATTTCAAGACTAATCGTGAGTTTTTACGCCTTAGTCTGAACTCAAACTTTAAACCACAAATTCAGGAATTTTTAAATTTATAACTTTACTTTCCTAGTAACCATAATCGTCTATATGCATTACATCGATGTTCCTTAGGAACATAATCGTCCATAAGTATTACATTGACCTTCCTATAGCAACATCAATGTAATACATATGGACGATTATGGTTACTAGGGCTAATTCTTCAGATTATATGATGCACGAATACAAAATTTCATAAAGTGAGTTTTGTTAAGTTCATTTAGTCGATACTAAACTGAATTCTAAATGAATTCTAATTCCAAAGCTTCTGAAATTCAATTTGTTTGCGAAAAAAATTATTCTGCTTATAATGACGGCAAATAACTGAGAACATAACTTACAAATGAGGTTAATCTCGGTTGGTTAAAGAATTAATTTTGCTAAAAAATTCTTTGGATTAAAGCAATTGCCACATTCTTGTTAAAGTTTGAAGTAGAACGAAGTGAATTTTTTCTCATGTGATTTATCTCACAGAATTCTTAAAATTATGGTCAGAATAATTTTTGGGTTTGATGGTAAACGCGGAAAATATAGAATAATGTTGAATGCACAATCAAAAAGGTTTTAACTACAGAGTTCTATTGGAAAATATTCAGTGGATATTGTTGAATCTTTCAGAACAAATCAGATGAAAAGCAATGCAAGTTTCAAATCTAGTGCTGTATAAAAATCATTTAAATGGTGCCAAATATGCAACAAATCATTTAAAAAACAAAAAGTACCAATTTAAGAACCAAAACAGGTAATTATGAACGATATCTAAGATCAAACAGTCGCAAATAAATCTGAAAATAATTATTCAAATACACAAAAACACAGAACAGCATCATCACACCTTTTTGTCGATAAAACTACACCAAAGTCATCCACAACTGCCTTTTCATAAAGAGCCATTGCAAATAATGAGCGTAAAAATGTGGTGCATCGATCAAAACATTGCGATAACTATTGAACTGATGCAAATTTTTCATTTTATCTCTTTTTATAAACCCTTCCGTTTTTTGTTTGTTACCGTCTTTATTGAGGTCATAATACCAAGCAGAACAGAGATAAATTCTTCTTTTATGCTTAAAGATTTATGATTTCTTATGTTTTTATGCATTGTTGTAAGGTTGAATATACAAATGGGAACTTTTTTTTGTGTGCCTTAAAAAATCTGCAATTAATGTCCAAAAAATATCTTTAAGTCATAAAGTATATTGCAGTATATTGTCGCATAATCAAATTAATTGATTGCAGGCACGCAAAGGAATTCTCTGCTGAGCACATGCTCGCAACATTCACAAAAAATAAAAACATTTTAAATGAGATGCATTAAGCTCATTTATCGGTCACTTATATGTATGTGTAGCTATGTTACGCATCAGTGAGAATGAAATCGAATTTACAACAATTTGACGTACATACGATATCAATGAAATTTTGTTTAGATCTTGTTAAGTTTTGCAATTAGCATTGAAGAGGGAAAAATGAATAAATCATAATAAATTATCGGTAATAAGATGTAATATTACATCGTTATGCGTACGGATATGTGATCGAGAATGATTGGTTGAATCACTGGACATGTCATTACAGAAATTGTAGGTGAAAAGAAGAGAAATGAAGAATGTGAGAATGAGATAATGCTGGATCATTTTGTGGGAATTGAAAGTGTTTAATGCGCATTTTTAGATGTTTTGAGAGACTGTAGATTAAACAGTTTATTGAAACTGATCAAAAGTTCTTAAATAGAGGCTATAAATCGAATGTTTCAGTCTATTGACTTCATAGACTTAACTAAAGTAGAACAGACCAAAAAATATTAAGCATGCTAATAGTTTGAGCTTATATTCGATAAATTTGGCAAAATACTGACTAAAGGAGGCAAAATCTATTAAAATTCACAATGTTATGGACTATACTAAGGTTGCTGGTAAGCAGGACACAAGACTTCAATTAGGAGCTTTTCGGAGAATCAAGCTAATGAGTCTTGTACCTTAAATTAATGGAACTTAACCTTTTCTGGTATTCACTGAAATTCACTTTAGTTCCTACATCCAACCCTTACCTCATTAAACTTTCAAAAAAACAATATCCAACAAAAGATGACAAAACATTTACATGCTCAGCACACAAACTGATCATCTTATCTCACCTCAATCAACAAAAAAGACCAGCTAAAGCATAAAGAGCATAAATTTCACGATAGCTATATAAGAATGGTGATTTAGCAAGAGGAACTCATCACTTGCACATGACATTGATCAAAAAATTACATTCAAGTGAGCAGAGACAATGGATCGTTGAATATATATATAAAAAAATATTTCTGACTACCAACATGCGGCTTTTGTGTAGCCGAGTGTTAAGTGAAAATGAAAATTAATTGTCTCTTTAGCACAACCGCAGCTTGTGAGTGAGAATATATTATTATTTTCATTTTCATTATTATTTTGTGCGGTCAAATTCTGTGCTTGATGCTAATTTAATGCTTACGGAAATCGAATGTGTTTCCAAATATTTTATCCAAAACATTCTTTTGTTACTTATTGAATCATTTGTCATGCTTTCGAATATTAAAATGGTATGTGTCATTACTTACTCTTTGGTCGTGGTGTGTCTGGATTGTTGTCAGTTACTTGATAACCATTCTTTCTGTTTGAATTATATCCTGAGTTTTCCAGACTGATTCCATTCACAGGATACCGACCAGATGGATATAAGTCGTAATGATTCATGTGCGCATGATATCTATTATCAATGGGGTGCAAGGATGGTGCATTTTGTGCATAAATTCCTGTGGGAAAATGTGAATTTTTATCATCAAAATTATCTAAAAAATAGTGATAATGTGGATGTGGTTGTGGTGAATAAAATGGAAATGGATCAGGATTAAGGGGATATGAATGATGAACATCTGGATTATCGGTTTCATAATGTGGACGAGTTGGAATCACAACTGGACGTTGAGTTTCTTTTTGAGGTTTTTGGCTATGGTAACTGGGAGTTGATGATGTGTCTGGCTGATAGCCGACAGTTTGAGGATCACGATTGATTGCTGGATGTGTTGTTGGAAATTTATTTTGAATATTATAAAGGTCATCGGGACGAGTTGGATTATTATCAGAGGAGAAGGTTGAGCCAAGCGAGGTTGTTAAAAATTCACCTGACGTGGTGCCATCGCTGCCATCTTGAGGCGTTGAACCACTTGAATATACACTTGATGTTGGAGATGGAACGAAAATTGTTGGATTTGGACGGGATGTACCGTCGGTTGGTGGGAATGTGCTTGCTGTGGGACGTGTTGATGGGTTTGATGTGCTTCCTTGTTCAAATCCTAGAATAGAAGTGAAGTTTTAGTGGAATTGACAATAAATGAGTACAAGTGGAAGTAGGAAGTTTCTTCCTATCATCTCATTGAAGTCTTTCGATTTTCTCTTCCAACTTTCACTTCCTTCTATCTATATAGCCATAACAAATCAATACTAACCTCCAGGTCGTGGATAATTATTGCTAGGACTTGGATCGACTAAGCAATTTGTTGTTTTTCTCGCATAAAGATCGAAATCGGGGTCAAAAATAGTTCCAGCTGGCGATGACCCCGTACCGTCAATAATTTTTGACGATAATTGACACGTTCCATTTCCACGGGTTGATATACTGCGTAAGTATGACACACACAAAAAAAAGTCAAGTTTAATTCAAGGAAAAGAAATTTAACAAGTTTGCCAATTTTTCTCACCCAAAAGCGAATGTCGTACATTCAGCATCTTGTAGACATAAACTCGTACACACATCTAATTGATTTGTATCAGATCGTCTAAAAGTCTTTTCAAATGGAAGCATTGCGCCAATGGCAATTCGTTCGAAGCATGCTGAAAAGAGATGAAAAAGCAACTTAAGCTAAAGGCAAAAAACAGAACAGCTCAACTTAGTGGAATTGCATCATCCTAATCAATTGTTTATGTTAATTCATCTAAGACTTAAGAAATAAATAAATGAACTTGCGTTGTTCTCTGACTTTATGCGAATCGAAAGATTAAGAAAATTAAACAGATGCAAACGGATATTCAGCGATTGCATTGGCAAGTCTTTCCAATTGTCTTGTCTGCATGCTCTTTCCGAGAGTTTAGTCAATATTGGGTTAATAAATTTAAGGTAATTGGAGAAGTTTTATGATTGCTTCGTTGCGAAAGGAATTTTATGGGATTAAGGTAGCTGGAGATGATATTTATTAAGATATCAAGTTTAATATAATTGCTTTTTGCATGTGAAGATGAATATGGGACTGGATGGAGCAACAAAAGTGTTTTACTAAAGATTTGATTCTTTGAAAAATGTCGGAATATTTAAAACCTTTAAGAAAAAGCTCTAAGATTGGTCAAGTCCGAAATCATAAGTTTACAACAAAAAATTCGATTCGGTTATCACTTTATCCTAAATGTTATAACCATAAACATTCCAAAAATAAGAACATTCTAATTTTGTGGATGTCTGGAAGACTAAATTAATTAATTCAATTTTTTTGTGTCCCAAAATTATACTGTGAAGGTTGCAACAGAACAGTCGTGGTTGTTTTTAGTAAAATTAATATTTAAAGCTGGTCTGGAATTTGGAATATGAGAAGAAAAATTAAGAAATTGTTAAAATCTGCTAAAAGGCCGTTCAATTATGACTTCCAGGGGGGGGGGGGGGGGGGGGGGTCAGACAGAAAAGAACAATAGAAATTCCTGAGAATCCATTGTTCGTTTTTGAAAATGACCGTTAATTTTGGACGTCATAATTGAATGGCACCTATAGATTAATTGCTACAGATTCGCAAAGAATCCAATCCCATTAGAAGAACTATGGTTAAAGCTTTTTATATTCCCGATGGACATAAGGTTACGTTGAGAATCTGCCAAGGGGTTTGGATTTCATTTGAATGCTATCCAGATTCCTTTGATTTCCTTGTTTTTTTTTCGAGAATTCCTGACAAAACATTCACACGAGGTAAATAATTGCTACTGAATTAAGTTAAGATCAGTGAACTCGGATGTTAATTTTTTTATTGCTTCTATACTTTCAGGAAGTAAGCATTTCGAGAACAGTGCATCAAAAATTAATATTAATCAGCAATTAGCACTGGACGCTTAACGAACTTTGTCTGAACTTTAAATAAGTAATTCTACAGCAGTTAACTGGACAGTATTCAATGTTAATCCAGCTTGGCTTTATTTAGCAATGATGGACATAAAATCATCTGATAATGCAAATCACATAAGTTTATACATGTTTATACTTACAGTGTGGCTTTGAAACGAGTTCATTGTCTATTTGTACACAATTAACAACAATTGGTGCTATCACATTGAAATGTATGAGTATAATTGCTAAATAATGTCTTTTCCTCATTTCTATTAATTTCTGTGTTCTTTAATTTTATAAAATAAATTATTTAAATATCTAGCTGTCTTGCTTTCACTTCTAATTCCTTCTTTTATTAAACTTTTTTTGCACAGATATTCCAAGTTTTTATTTGATTTTTATTACAAATGTCATGATGCTGTAGCACAGTAAGCATAAAAATGAGAAATCTTAATTTGTCACCGATATAAACTGTTGTGGCTTTAGATTCATCACATATTTGCCGTATTTTTAATTACTTTTTTGTTCTCTTTTTTGCGCACTTTCTCTGAGAGAATCCGCTTTGATGATTGGTTTTTGATTGATTTTTTTATTTTTGGAACTCAGAAGCTACGCTGGATGTTGTAGAAACTTTACAACTTCTAATTTCCTTACAAAACTCTCAAAACTTTTTATGTCTGCAATTAAATGAAATATTCTCAATTTTCGGTAATAGGTCGGTAGCTTAAAAAAATAATTTTTTATTCAGCGAAATCACAGCAAGAAAGAAGAACAGCAACAAAAATGTTGCCTAAAGAGCACAAGACAGAATAAAGAGGTCGATGAAACATGCAAAAAAAAGAGAAGATACAAAGAAGCCGAAACGAAATGAACATATTTCGACAATCCCAGGAAATTGAGATGTAATGCTGAGAAGTGATTAATTATTGTGACATAAGAATTGTCTTTACAAATCTTTTTTACACAGTGTTTTCTAAATGGACATGAAAGATTAAGAAATTTAACATTGACGGGTTAATTTTGTTAAGGCTTGAAGATCTTTTTGTTGTTGTCAGACTTGATAAAGTTGTGTTAAATGGATTTTAAAAGGTGAATTTTAGTCAAAGTGAAACAAAGGAAGCGAGAGGAGTCATTTGGAATCCTAATAGTTGCTAGATGTGTCCTCCTAACAATGACATCCATTCCAGCTCAATTTACGATTGCAAAATTATTTTTTTAAAAAAAGATAAATTGCTTTAGGAGCTTTCACTTATTATGTTACGCAAAAAAACGACTTTTTTGTCACAAACCCCCCCCCCCCCTCCCCCTAAAATGCGAACGTAATAAGTGAACGGCCCCTTAAAGCTTCAGATTTTTTCTTAAATTTCAAAAATTCTTAACATCCTACAAAACTATTTCATTGCAAAAAAAAAGGTTGTAGATTTTTCATTAATTTAAAGCCAAGTGACTATGAAAGAATAATAAAATATTTTCCAGCAGAATGTCAATGTTGTCGACATCGAAATTATATAAAAACAGACTAATTAAAAATTCTTTTATTGTGAATTTTAAAAAAATATAATTCTGATGCAATTTGAATGGAGTAGAAGAATAATTATTCAGATTCATTTTCGTTGGTTTATGTGTTGATGGGTAGGGATTCTAAATTTTGTCGCTGAAAGAGTTAAATTGTGGAGATTTTTATGAAGCTTTGGAGTCAGTCTTATTCTTGAAGGGTTGAGGATTGTGTTGTTAAGTTTGTTGTGTGTTGTTCTTGAAAGAAACTTGAATTGAAATAATTTTTTCTTGATTTGTCATCTCAAATAATTCCTTCAGATTAAGTTAAGCATCTTTATTGATTGATTGAATTAAATTTCAAACTTTAAAGTTTCAAATATATATTTTAAAATTTGATTTATGTTGCTTCTGACTTGAACTAATCTTGTCAAACGTTTAAAGTTCATATTTTTCCAAAGAAAATTTTTAATTTTTGGCGCATTTAAACAAAAAGACACAAGCAATTGTTTATAATCATAAGCTTTTTCTATCATATTAGATAGCTAGATATAAAGCATTTTAGGTACAATAGACTATATGTAATTTACAAAGTAAGCAACAAGTTCCGGTCATTCAAAATTAACTTTATATGGTATTTGTAATGAAATTGAACTTGAATTAACCAAATATTAAGTTTTTAAGCATTAAATTGCATCAAACCTTCATTCGACTCTCATCAGTGGTGATACAAAGTGTCCTTTGATCTACCAAAGTCATGCTTTTGCAAAGGCGCAACATAGGCAAAGGCTTGTTCCTTTAATTTCAAATTGCCTACGCTTAGGTTCATCTTTTTAAAGTTAAGTGCTCAACACAAGATTCAAAGATCAAAAAAGGCTGCCGTTCCTTTAAAATTAAATCAAGTATTATTAACAGCCAACTTAGTAAGACCAGAGACTGTTTTTAAAGCTAACCGATGTCCTATTTTCAAGAGTATACAAAATTATTGAATGTAACTAAGGTAAGCCTACAGAAGATCGAAACGAGAGCCTTAGTTTATTTGAAACCTAGATTTGAAGATTAGAAGTTTGATCCTACATAACATTAATTCATATGCATACAAATACAAAAGTGTAAAATGTGAATTATTACCGGACAGTATGTCGTCAATAAATGCAATTAAGTGCAATTAAAATGAAAGCTACTTCAGCTAGCCCTTAAAACCGACTCCCAAGCTTCATTCTCGTAAAAATCACTCCATTAGCTTAAAAAAACCATTAAAAACTCCATTAGAACCCCTAGAGTCACCAGCATTCATGAATGGAACATATATATATCCTCAACACAACAGAACTATATCGACGATCTCATTAATTTCAGACTAAAATAAAAAAAATCTTTCAAACAAAATGATGAGCGTGTGCAGAACAGAAACAGAAATGAAAATGAGCTAGGTGAGGTCAAAAGCTAAAATTCTAAATTGAATATATTTGTGAATTGACATAATAAAATGTACTTTTTTTATGCTGGACATACATGCTTTACATTTTTTTCGCTCTTCATTTATAGAATCACATGTTGGATGTTTGTTATAAATGAATAATTAGCTTACGATCTATGGTAATGTTTTTACGATCAGATAAATTCTATTTTCAAGGTTAATTTAATTATTATTATTGTAATTGTCTCCATCCTGGGTTCTTAATAGGATATTGGATGAGACGAGAGATGGAAGTTGGTTGACAAATTGGGATGATGAGCATGTAATTGGGATTTCATTAAATTTAATTGATTTAATAAGATGTTTTGGGTTTTTTTTTGTGAAACTTAAAGTTAAAGTCACATTATAGGACATGCTGAGGGACTAATCAGAATGTTCTTTAAGTTTGATGACTCAAGGTTGTCTAATTTGATCACCAGAATTTGAAGTCTTACAAAATTTTAATTTCTTTACTTAAAGGTTAAAGTTTTGAATGAATCCAAAATCTAATCTACACCTTATAATTTTTTTATAAACTCGATGAATTTAAAGATGTGCCAAAAGCACCACAATTAAATTAATTTCTACAACTTTGCACTACAAAAGTTATTGCCTTTTAACTCACTGTTGTTCACTTTGAAAAAATAATTTTTTAAACTTCATTAAAAGATCTCTCAGAAATTTGAATTTAATGAAATTCAGAAACTTTGACAAATTTACAAAAAATTAATCATTTCCATCCAAAGCTTCCCAACAACTTTAATCCACTTCCACTTACAATTTTTTTCACAGAACAATTAAATTAATTTCAATAAATTAAAACTTTAATAATTTAAATATCGCAAAAATCAAACTTTTTTAAAAAAATATCACGAGAATTCAATTTATTTCGTCTATACGCGGACAGCGCGCGACACCAACTGAAATGTTGCTATATGTTGATTAAAACATGATTAAACAAAAGAGTCTCTCTTCATCACTTTTTTCGTTCTTCTGCGTGTTATGTTTCACATTTTTTTATTTTATTGTAAAAAGTGAGCCAGCAGCAACAGCATACATTTGGCAATACGACATTATTGAATGAGATGAGCATGCGAAACATTAAGTTGGAAACATTGAGCAGTCGAAACATTGTGCTGATACAATTAGAACAGTTTTTACTGTGCTGATGTGATTTTGTTGATAAATGATGAACATTCTGGCGACGACACCTCAAGTCAACTGCAAATTTGTTCAGCAAGGTGGAAAAATAGAAAGAATTTCGCTGGAACTAATCACCGAAAATTATTATTATTGTCTCATTCCGCATTCATTCATTGCGACAAAAGTGAATAATTTGTGGTTTGATGTTCGTTTTTGTAAGTGTCGTGAATGTGAGTATGCAGTTTTGTAGACGGAATAAAAAGAAGAAAAATTCGAGTTGGAAATGGCAATTGAAGGAAAGGATTAGAGCGCATTTGTGAATTATCATATAGAAATCACATGTTTGATGCTTTATTAACAAGATTTGGACATCCATAATGAAATTCTGAATATAATAAGCCCAGATTTAATTAATTTTCAGTATCCAATACTTAAAAACAGATCGATTATGTCAAAAAATCAATTCTAAAATTTTTTATTCAGCAACGCATCAGACAAACATTAAATCCAGCCTGACAAACCACAATCAATCCACCATCGCCCGACAAAACTCATCCAAAAAATCGTTGATTTATTTTAAGTGACATAACGGAAAGGAATTTTCTCGCTACGTTCAGACCCAACACCCTGGATCGTCTTTGCATTAATATTAAGCGTCATCAAATTTAATCAGTAAGGTCAGATCATCTTCGACATTCGTGGTGAGTTGTGATGTTACAAAAAGGCAAATTAAATGTCATTACCTCACCACCAGAGATTTTATAATAATTGTAATTATCATCTTCATCGTCACCACAGCTTTACACAGCACAGAGAAGATGTTTAAAATAATCAAATGATGTATTCTGTTATTAATTATTGTCTGTTGTAATACAAAGAGATTTTTTTTATGTGTGGTATTAAAATGGTTGACAGGAAGATGTTCTAGGTGATGCTAGTTACTATTGTAATGAGTAGTCGGCATGTAATCGTATAAATTGGATTTAAATGGTAGAGAATTAGATTTTTACAGCATTTTAAGACTTAATTGATGCAAAATTGATGGGAATTTTACTAATTTCTGGTAAGTATGTATTTTATAAATCAACGAAGCTTTAGATTCTTAAGTTTGTATTGAAATATTATTAAATTGAGTTAAAAATTAATCGAGAATTATTCAAGGTTGTGGTACTGATGAAATGATCAAAAATGATCAAAAAATTGATCAAAAATGATCAAAAAATGATCAAAAATGATAAAAAATGATCAAAAATGATCAAAAATGATCAAAAATGATCAAAATGTAATTCTTCATTTCCACATGCTTGGAATTATTTTAATGAAAGAACTAGTAAGATTCTAATTTATCATGTCATGGTTTTGTTTAAGACAAGGCTTTGTGCCAAAGCAACTTATGAGCTTAACATCGTTCAATAATAATAATAATAATAATTCTAAATACTACTTCTATAGTTTACCGATAGACTCACAAAAATTATTATTTTACAGGATCTTTACACTGATTTCTTGATTAATTCTATTTTTTTCAATTTAAAACATCTTTAAATCTTCGATAAATTCAATTGAAGAAGCTGAAAATTTGCTAGAGAACTTAAAATAATCTAGAAACTTATATATAGCTTTTTATATCTAGAAAAATCGAATAGAAATTAATTATAAAATTATTCATTAACTCACATTTTCTACACAATTAAAAACCAAGAAAAAATGTCTGAAATTAATACTTTAAGAACAAAAAAGATACAAAGAAGATACGATCAGCTACTGTGTATAGAAATTCTTTAAAACTCCAGACAGTCTCGAGTATTAAAATTAAGCAAATGATAAATTTCGAGAACTAATTATCTACCTTAAGCTTTCAACAGGAACATCAAAAGGAAGTGAATCAGCATGTAGCATGAGAAATCTTGAATTCACGTCCCCAAAAAATGATAAATTAGAGAAGGCGGGAATCAGAGTTGTGAAATCATCAATCTTTGTCTTAAAAACAGATTTTAGCGCGGAATTTAATCTTGGATCCTCCCAGTTCCTGAATTTATAATGTTTTAATGATTTAAGGCCACAATGTGGACCATTTCTAAGCCTAGAGCAAATTACAAAACTATTTGACCCACAAACAAGTCCAATGAAAATTCCTCACATGCTTGCATGCCAACGCCTAGTTGACACCTTTGAATGAAATGACCTCTTCAAGGAAGACTGCCCAGAATAATTTCTATTTTATGCCAAAATAAACAGCGGGATAGAATTTGGGTAAGATTGACAGTTACCTTGATTGTTGTCTTGCGTGAAATAAAATTGAATTTTAATTCCTTGAGGAAAGAAAGTAACTGGGATGGGAAATTAAGTTATTAATATGGCATTTCGCGAAAATGAGTAGAAAAAAAAATTATTCACGAATGGCAAATGAAGAAATGATATGAATTTAGGCCACAATTAAGAGAGACAGAGCGAAAGAAAAAAAAGCTAATTAGCACAGGCAAAAAGCGAGTCATTAAAGACACAAGAAATAAAATTCTTTTCGCTGTCATGTACAATGCTTTGTCTAAGGTTCACTGAATTGGAACTGATTATGTTAATGAATTAAAATCTCTTTTTTTGGAAGTTCCATTATTTAGCAATTCACATGTGCGAAATTCTATGAATGAATATAAATCAAATAATTTTTGTATGTTTTATTCTAAATTCTTCAGTCAACTGTCATGTAGATGCTTGGGTATTATTACGATATATGCTGATGTTCAGGAAGCAGAAATAGATAGACACCCGTTGCTTTTATCTCTCTTTGTTATTCAAGCTTGGACAGAGTAATAAAAATTCGCAAGTAACATTGAACTTCAAATTTTCATTATTTTAATTCCACCTGACGTCATGCGATAGCAATTTCTGTAATAAATTCTTGGCCCATCGAAGGACAATGCCTCTGATGGTGTCGAAAAAAAAATGATACAAATTATAGAGCACAGCTTGTCTCGATTTGTTGATGACTTAAATCTACTCTTAATCTGGCAGACTGTTTGCAGTCAGTCTGTCATTGAAGATAATTATTCGACGAGTGACATAATCAGTTCCTGTTTGACATTTTTTGGCAAATTTTTTAAAAAACAAATAATGGAACTTAAAAATAGCTGCAAATGAATTAAATAATGTCATTAACGACGTATGTGATAGTAAAGTTAAATCATGAAAAAATATTTCAAGATCAAAGCTGTAATTAATCTGAAATTTATTCTAAAGGAACTGAGTTAGAATTGTTGTTAGATTCTGATGTGAGTTTCAGTTCTTTCGATGACAGTAATAAGCATTAATTGTAGGTTTGGTTTGCGAACACTAAGGAGTAACGGACTTCAGATTAATTATAGAAGTTTCATGTCATCTTAAAGCTTTTAGGTGCTTATTCTGAGTATTTTATACTTAGTCTGGATATTTAACATTCTTGTGGCATAAAAAAAGTACGTAGGAATGAAATCCTGCCTACAAAAACTCCTGATACGCCACTGGCTTCATTTTAAAAAATCGAGAACAAGAGAAAGATTCTACAAGTCAGAAAATTTCGTATCAAGCTTACACTAAACCTGATTTAGAGTATTCTTTTCAACTAATTTTCATACTAAAGGATGAAAGCTCACGAAAATACAGGGAAAGTAAAGCTTACAACCAACAAAAATGCGCTAAAAATCCTCAATTAAACCAATACAACGCTTAAACTCGTCACAATAATTTCGAGGTGTCCATAAAATAATTTTTCTGAGAAAAATCGTCCATTGTTTCAATAAAATTGAGGCGGAAACTCGAGTGAAGAAAGTTGTTATTAAATGTCAATAATGACAATGAAAACATAAAAAAGAATGTCTGGGATTCATTAAAATAATTTTGTTTTTTTCAATGAAAAGTTCAATGTTTCCGTTGCCTTCCTACATGATGTTCACTATCAATCATGCAATTTCAAATTTTTTTAAATTCTTTATCAAATAGTTTAAGTAAGACTCACGTGCTGGTTTATCAAACTGCTTGACTCAAAATTGAAAAATTCACATTTAACACTTCGTGATGTTTACAATCAATTTGATTAGGGGCCGTTCACTTATTACGTTACGCAAAAAAACGACTTTTTCCACCCCCCTTCCCCCCTTTGTTACAATATGTTACAACTCACAACCCCCCCCCTTAAAATTCAAAAATGTCATGAAAAATATTATGCCCGATCGAATTTTGGAAAATTCAATCAACTTTGAATATAAATATCACAATCATGGAATCATATTAATCATCATATAAATGAGAGATTTAGAAAGATTTCCTTTTAAACTTATGATTGATTTAATTTTGAAAATTTCCACAAATTATGATTGTATTTTAAAGTCTTGTAAACAAGTTTTCTATTGATTTGTTACCTAATATAACAAAAACTATGTGTTGCTTAGCTATCAAAATTGATCTGAACATTCATAAATGATTAAAAAGGTGGAAAATCCTTTCCTGACCCCCCCCCCCCCCCCTCTCACTAAGTTACATTTTGTTACAATTTTTCAAGCCCCCCCCCCCTCCCCCCTAAAGCGCGAACGTAATAAGTGAACGGCTTCATATCAATATTAGAATTCTTTATCATTTATAATACCTAGATATGTTTTAAAATGCAATTTAATGAATTTTTGGTTTTGATCATAGTAGGCTATTTTCAAAAAATATCGATTTTATATCTATATTAGCATTCTTTATCATTTATAATACCTAGATATGTTTTAAAATGCAATTTTAAGCATTTTTTT